AATAATAATACAAAAATCAAAGAAATCAATGAGTAATAGCTTCAAAAATTGAAATTTAGTATCACCATGTTGTATTTAATATTTACGAAATAATGAGCTAAGAGATGAAAATATAAACAATTTCTAATAACTAACCTCTCGAAATAAATGATCAATTAAATACTCATGTGTTTTTCATGAAGGAATAAATGAAAAAGATGAATGAAGAAGATGAAATTCTTGGAAGAAAATATGTGTTAATGGATGATGATTTAGGACTTAGGGTTTGTTTATGTTATGTTTTGAATTTCTTTTATTTCTTTTTTGGAAGAAAATAAGTTTTATTCAATATAATATACATATATACAATGAATAAAATAATAAAAATTTAATCATCAAATCAAACAATTAATGACCTTCCAATCAAGCATTAATTGCTCTTACAAGGGTCAAAGGTGACCTCAAGGCTAGTTTGGACCTTTCACAATAAAAAAGTGACATTTTTGAACAAATGTAGTGCACATCCAAATTTTTTATGGATTTTCAAAATTAGTGACATTTATGAAATTCTCCCTTTTTTATTCCACATGCTCTGGTCCTCAATTCGATTTCGAATTTCTATCAAACCAAAGCAATTTTTCAATTCTAAGACAAGCCCATTTTAATTTACTGCCTATTTTATCAATTTCCTTTTTTTGTCGGCCGATTGAAAAAGGTCTTCTGTGGCTTTGTCTGATATTAATTCAAGAAAGTTTCTGTTTTTGTGGGGTTTGAGATTAGATCACTCAATGGAAAGCAATTCAACTAATCCAAAATCAGTTCATGATTTCACTGTAAAGGTATCCCGTTTTTCGCCTATTTGTTTAGTTTCTGATGATGTAAATTTTTTTTTTTTTGAATAATTTATTTCTTAATATATTTTTGTGTAGGATATGGATGTTTTGGAATCTTTTGTAAAATGTGCTTTTTTGTTATGATCTTTTTTTTATTGTTGTGTTATATAAGTTTAGTTGTAGGTAAAATTGTTAGGCATGTTTGATGCGCAGTACTGGACATATCCAAGATCTGAAGTCTTTGGTATTGGCCGGTCATGTCCAATCCTATCGCCAAACATGAAAATTAAGGTTTTGTGGTTGTCTTTTAACTAGAGAAAGTTAAAGTTGCAAGAGAATTTGAGGTTTTATTGTGACTTCAAGGGGAAAAAAATAAGGAAGAGATCTATCGTTTATGTGATAGAATTTTGTTAGTTTTCATGTCGAGTCCTACTCCAACGGACCCATAATTCTCATAAACAAGTCACATCTTTTGCTAAATTGCCGATTTCTCATAAATATTGTTGGAGTTTTTCTCAATGTTTATGAATGAAATTGAATTTTTCCGTTGTTATCTTATCATACCTCGACGAAACATGTTATCTAATGTAAATTGCTATTGTATTCTATAATTATGTGGTCGCAGGATGCTAGAGGCAATGACGTTGATTTGAGCATTTACAAAGGAAAGGTCCTATTAATCGTCAACGTTGCATCGCAGTGGTATGTGGTAGCTGCTCTTGTGGAAAAGTTTTAATTTATGCTCAATGGATATTGTAACATATTATAATAAATACTTTTATAATGAAGACTGATTTCGTTTTGCAATAATTTCTTTTCTAAACAAACTTATCTTATTCCTTGTTCGCTGCAGCGGTCTCACCAATTCAAATTACACGGAATTGACAAAGATATATGAGACATACAAGGATCAAGGTTCGATTTGGTTTGCTTTTCTTAGCTTTGATTGTGCACTTGAGCAATAATTGTGAAGAAGTTTACTTATTTATTTATTGGGCTGAATTTTCATATTCATGCAACTAAAGAGAGCTGAAAGAAGAAATAAAATTTGGAGGCTTAGGGGAATTTCAGTTATAGCGCGGAATATCTCAAATCAGTGTTTATATGATTAAGTATACCTAAAATTGCTGACAAAAATGGGAAGTTGCCAAATTAATAAACTGGAATACTTTTGAACTCATAACCAATAATTATGACAAGAAAATACATAGAAATAAATCTACTTTCTGTTTTTACAACTGAGTGCATATTTTGGCAAGTTTTCAATAAAATCTCCGTCATTACCTTTCCATGTTTAAAGGTATAACCAGTATTAAGTTGAAACGTTATAACTTTTAAAGCTCTATTTTGATTTTTAGAGTGCCTGATTTATGAATTGTTCTTTGCCTATTGCACAGGTTTGGAGATTCTGGCATTTCCATGCAATCAGTTTGGCTCACAAGAACCTGGCACTAATGAAGAGATTCAACAGTTTGCTTGCACCCGATTTAAGGCTGAGTATCCCATATTTGACAAGGTAAGAAATTGAGGAGAGCTTATTTCTAGATTTTCATAAACGAACGATTTCTTCAATCGAAAAATCTTAACGATGACAAAGGGAAACAAGCTATATGCCTTCTTTAAGAGCATTAGCAAAAATACTTTCTGTGAGCTGTTGTGATGAATATAGCTTCCCCTGTAAAATGTTAGGGATGTGGTTTCATGTGTTCTTACCTTTTTAAGACCTTCCTTGTATTTCTTAAGGTTGTTTTGCGGATGGCATTAAACATTATTAAGAAGAAAAAGAAGATAATATCATGTCTTTTATATGAATTTGTTGACAGGGTTTTAACCGTGGTTGTGTTTTCTTGATTTAGGTCGATGTAAATGGTTCCAATGCTGCTCCACTATACAAGTTCCTCAAGTCGAGCAAAGGGGGTTTTTTGGGGGATGGTATCAAATGGAACTTCTCCAAATTCCTTGTCGACAAAGAGGGGCGTGTTGTTGATCGTTATGCTCCCACCACATCTCCTCTTAGTATCGAGGTAAATATCATCCATACTATCTGGCAATTTTAAATTCATGCATTGGCAAGGTTATTCAAGAACTGAGAATTTGTTCCCTTCGTACTTCTTTGCAGAAGGATATAAAGAAGCTGCTCGAAAAGGCTTAAGCATTAGAACCATCTTGTTATGCCTTTCAGTTACTAGTAATAAACGTCCTGATGAGGATGTCAATGCCAATAAGCATTATTATATGCATGTTTTCTATGTTAGTGTTCAAAACTTCCATTCTATATTTTGTTTGAGAATGTTTTCTATTTAATAACAGCTCGTATATTGTAAATGGTACTGTTCTATTTGTTTGGTACATTAAAATTCTTGCCATTGTAGTTGGAATTAAACAGAATTATTTGCTTTTGTATAAGTTTTTATTAAACTATAAGCTCTGAATCCTATGAAACGTGTAGATAATAATGATGCAAGTAAAAGTTGTCAGTCTTACCGAAAACAAAGTTTGACCAGCATGTAAGCAGTTATAAGTTTTGCCAAACGTATACTAAAAAACAGAGGTAACAACCAGAGGACTTTGGAGAAAATAATAGAGGACTTGAATAGCTACTCATATTCATGCCAAAAAGAAAAGTCAATAATGCATTCACCAAAAGGCACTGCAAATTAAAGATTCAGGTTACAACAGGAATGGTGAGCAAAGAAAGAAACCCCAACTAATCAATAGAATCCAGTTTGATTTCTAGTACATACTTAAACTGCTACAAATATTAATAGTTCCCATCAGTTCCAACAACCTCAAGTCTCTACCATTGCTACCTAAGAACCTAGTATTAGAACTCTGTCACGATATGTTAGCACAACTCACAATTCACCCAAGGGCTGACTCTGAGTTTAGGCATTGGCTAATTTCCCGGGCACATTAATATACAACAATATACAAAAACCACCATGTTCATATTGTAGCTTTGTATCACCCGAGCATTAGGTCAATCTGCGCCTGGGAATTTTTCATATCAAGACGTGAATCTTGTGGCCAAACTACAGAATTCGGAGTGAGATTTTGACTTGAAGCAGCGCCAACTGGGGTTAATGACTTCTCAGCAGACTCGTCTGCAGGATTTTTTTCGTCTTCTGGTTCAGAATGTGTTTTGTTCTTTTCCTTAGAACCACCATATACAAAGCTACATGCAACCACCTACATAAACAATGATTATGCACCGTGTCAAAAGAATTCCACCACATGAATTATGATAGATAGGAAATAAAAGCATTTTAAGCTAAAGGTAAAAAGGTTCAACAAAAGCTACTTAATGACTCTTACTTGATGTCAAAATAAGTATTCTTTTAGAAGTTAATTATTTTAAGACCTTGTTTGGGCTCCATTTTAATGAGTTTTTCAAAAAAAAGTGTATTTTGGAATAGTAATTTTTTGGAGAATGTGTAGATAAAAAGTAAAGAAAAGTTTTAAATTTACATGTAATATTGTTTTATCGAAGAATGTGCGGTTGAAAATAAAGAAAGAGAATAATGCATTAAATTAAAATGGAACCCAAACAACGGCTAAAACTTATAAATTAACTTTAAAAGCTTAGCCAAACAAGATCTCAAATTAACAAGTGATCACATGCATACCTGCACTGAACTTGCGGCAATGAGGTTACCACCAATTGCTCCACCAATAATATGTCCATCGGGGCTACAAATCGAAATACTCATACCGCCAGTCCGATTGCGAGGACCACCACTTTCAGCAAGCAAATAAGACCCCGACAAGCATAATATCTCGAAACAGCCCTGAAAGAAAGTAGTAAGACACGAGGTAAACAAAAATATTCGTTAATTAGAGAAGGGCATCATCATAGCCAAAAAGTCCAGGGAAATATTTTTTTTTTTTGATAAAAATTCAACTTACATCAATGATAAAGCTATTTCCAAGTATAACGCCCGTTTGGCCCTCATTATTCCATATTATAATGAGAGGAATACTAATAATGTATGGTTAAAGAAGAAGGAAAAGTTTTTGAATTTGCATATAATATTATTTTATTGGAGAATATGTGGTTGATAAAAAAAAAAGATAGAAAAATGAATTATAATTTAATGGGGGGCAAATGGGGGAATAGTAATTAGCAAGAGGTAAATCTGAGAAGACTATAAAGATATTGGATCCAGAGCTTGATACCGAAGTGTCCAGCATGAAGATATGAACAGTCGCACAGAAGGAACGAATATGAAATGGTAGAAAAGCTACTTACAAGAGAATAAACAAAAAATATTAGATAGTACTGAGACATCACTTAAATGTTTTCCATTTTGTGATTAGACCTAGAGTTTATGATCTCTATTTTCATCTGCAAAAATAGTTTACAATGGAATTCAAGTTTCTGCTAGTAAAGCAACCAACTAGACAAAACACAAAGAAACGAATAAATTTTTTTGGAAGGAACTTTTCTGATATGCATTGAATTCACTGGTCAGCAAGTTCTTTCAAAGTACATAAAATGATAACATAGAAGTAAGTCATGCGTAGGCAAGCTTTTATTCCTTATCACCAAGATCTCATGGAAAATCAAAATACATTTTATTTTTCAAAAATTAGATGCCATAACTAAAGCACTTCCACAATATATACCCTATATGGAATAAGTTTGGAAACGTTCGATTAAAAGAATTTGGTGAAACAAAGTAATAACTATGAATTGTGAAACCATACAACATCACTTAATAGTTGAATGTCCATATGGCTCTACTTAGCCAATTCTAAAGCAGAATAATGGTAAAAAAAAAATTCCTGATATCTTTGATTTTAAAAGCAAGAAGGAAGGCAATAAAAGAATCTTAACCTCATATGTGACAGTGCCGCCAGAAGTGGTCAGTTCGCGCAGTGTCACAGCAGAAACGGATCCATTAGCCGACAAGATGCATAAAGCCCTTGACCTCTGTTGTGCAAACGCCAATATTTTGGCTGCAACATCCTACAGAAAAAATAAAAAATAAAATAAATAAATAAAAATCACTTCTCCTGCAATAGAATATATTCGGTGATGCAAACATTTGTTAATGAATATTTATAATATTGAATATATAATTAATCCGTATCTTTACCAATTGCATATGTACATAGTTTGAAAAAACGTAAACGGGTACCGAGGCCTTTTTTTGTAATGAGGCGAGGCGTAAGCCTCAAAACCTTTTGAGGCGTAAGCCTCACCACAAACAAAACAGGTGCAATTTGCCGAACAAAATAGGTGCAATCTGGTGACGATGCACTGAACAAGAAAAAAGTCAAGTAAAGTCTTAAAAATAAAATAAATAAATAAAAATCACTTCTCCTGCAATAGAATATATTCGGTGATGCAAACATTTGTTAATGAATATTTATAATATTGAATATATAATTAATCCGTATCTTTACCAATTGCATATGTATAGATGTTCATTTAATGCAACTATAAATGTGGAAAGGCACACTGCACAGAATAACGAAATAATTTCACCATCAAACATATAACAAAATAATTTCAACATCAAACATTAACTATGAGTATAACAAAACAATTGCACCATCGAAAGAATATCAACATCATAACAGATCTAAATAAGTAGCACTTATCAAAGCCTTTTGACGGGGGAGGCTATCAGTATTAGAGATGAAGATAAAGAATTTGAAACATACCTCTCCCACTCCAATATGTAAGACATGCGGAGTAAAAGCTAATCCAGCTGAGCTGTTCATCCATTCACCTGATCAAAGAAATTAAATCTTTTACGCACATGATACACACACACACACACACAAGGGGCTGTGAAGAAATAGCATTTCTCAGTTTCATTTTCCCTCTCTATTTTGTCTTTCTATGGCATTTTTCCTATTGGGGACAGGAATGAGAGGTCGGAATACATTTTAACCCACATAGAAGAGAGTATATCCTTGTGTTCAGTTTCCATAATCAAAACGTGCAAGTTTACAGTAAACATTACAATCACCAAACCAGTTACACTGCTGTGGTATATGCTAGTGGCTTCAGCAAAAACCATTCATTTAGGTGCACATTCGTTCAAAAAAAAGAACCAGCAATAAACCACAACTTGGAGGCTTAGCCCCTGTTTGGTACCCATTAAAATTTGTATTCTCATTCTTCTACTCATTTTCAACCACACATTCATCAAAATAATATTTTCCATCACATCAATAACTTTTCCTTCTTTTTCAACCATACATTCTCCATCAATCTACTATTCCAAAATACATTATTCCAAAATAATATCCATCAAACACACCCTTAATTGCATTCCCCCAGACTTCAAGTACCCTGCTGTGCACATTTAACAAAGTAGGCTGTAACATATGGATACACTTCAGAAACTGTGCTCGTCAAAATATATTCTTTTCTTTTTTTCTTATTTGTTGCTTGGAGTGTGTTTATCTAAGCTGAAAAATGATTTTTTTTCCAACATATTTGGATAAGCTTAATTCCAACTTTGACCAACAAATAAATTGTTTATTCTGAAAACTATTAATTTGCCAATAAGTAAATTTCACACAGGTAAATTTTCTAATAAGCTAGCCAAACATGTAATTATGTATTTTCCTTAGGGTTTGAGAAAATACTCTTACCTTGCAAACAAAATATACTATATTAAGAGCAATTAGATTATAAAGAAAAATCTAAAACATATTATAAAATATGAAATGTTGTAATTAACTCCAATTATGTAGAGAAAAACAAAAAACTTACCAAGAGGAGCCAGCTTCTGCTTCCATCCAGTCCCCGGCGGCCGCCCTCTTTTTTTCTCACCTGGGGCAATACCTCCTGTGGAAGATGTGGAGGCAGGAGACAATGCTAATGTCATGTTAGCCCCATCGGGACCGTATTTCCTAGGCCTACCCCTCTTCTTCTTCTTCACCGGATCACCACTAGTCGACACACTAGAGAAGTCACCCTTGGTAATGCTACGGGGAAAAATGGGAGATGGGTTCTCAACATGGAATGTTGAACCACTCATAGCACCCCCACTAGCACCCACATTGGGTTGAAGTTGAATGCTAGGATTCGAAACAGGATTGAACCCGGTTGGGGTATGTATCCCACCACTGGCCAGAAAAGTTCCCGAACCTCTACCAGCAGACTGTGCATTAGAACCTGGTGCTGAATCCCCAGACCCCCCAATTCCTCCTCTATTGAAGTAATATGAAGCTGAACCAGGTAATGACATTCCTTCTCTTCCATCCATTCATTTACTTAGTTAAATCTCACAATAAAGATCAATCTTTATAAATTTTGTCACTGCAAAAATACAGCCTTTGCCCTTCTTCGGACCAAATCTGCAAATTTGGAACTGACCCACCAAAGAAATCAGAATTAAACTCCCAGGAAAGGGAGAAAAAGACAACTTCTAAAAATTAAAACATTAAAAAAGAACGGACTCAATATTCAACAAGGTTTAATATGGGTTTATAATAAATTACAGTAAGAAAAAATAAAAATTCAAGAAAATAAAAAATTTTAGATCTTAACCAAACAAAGAAGCCCAAAAGAGAGAAAGGAACTCAAAAAGTTTAAGTCTTGAAACAGATTACACCCCGAGAACACACATCAAAACTTATTCTCAAAATGCAGAAGATCCTTCACTCAAATGAACTGTACAACCCAACTGTTCTTTAACTACAACACAACCCATCAAGAAAAAAGGAAACAAAACCCTAAATTTTTAGAATGCTAGAAGGTGAGACAGAGAGAGGAACGAAAGTTTTGGGAAAGGGGGAGAGAGACGGTAAAGACAAAAGTGCATAGAAAAATTAGAACTTTGAATTAAAGTAAGACGAAGAAACCTTTATTTCTTGAATAATTTAATGAATTAATTAGGGTTTGAAAGAGGGGATTAGTCAAGATGTTGTAACTTGTGAGGATTTTGACCTACTTTATAATTATTGGTGGACAGTTGGATGCGCCTAAGTACCAACACGTCCTTATCAGAAACAATAGTACTTTTTTATAAGATTCAAAATTTTGATCAACTTTTTAATGGCCCGTTTGTTTTTTATTCGTAAATTCTACAATAGGGGGTATTTGATTTTGATTTTTTGATTTTACAGTAAATCAATTCTCATTTTCAATCACATATTTTTCAATAAAATAATATTTTTCATCACATCAGTAATTTTTTTTCTTTTTCAACCACACATTTCTCATCATATCACTATTCAAAAATCTCTACCAACTAAGCTCTAAATCAATTCTCATTTTAACCACACATTCTTCAATATTTTTCATCACATCAATAATTTTTTCTTTTTTTTCAACCACACACTTTTCATCATTTCACTATTCAAAAATCAATTCTTCCTCCAAAAATCCCTACCAAACACACTCTAAGTCTCCACAATTTTCATGCATGATGCCCAGCTGGGAGTAGATGCCAAAATTCAGACATTAGGATATTTATCAATCTCTTCCCCCAAAAATTTCTACCAAACGAAGCACTAAAATTATAATTTTGATCAATTTTTAAAATTTTTACTTGAAAATTGCACTGTTGATCCACAAAAAGTGCAAATCTTTGCTAAATTATCATAGCATCATCGATTCTTCTCATATTCTTTACTTTTAAATAGCATATTTTATGATTTAGAAAGTGTCTCTAAATTTGAGTAAAAAATTTTTATGTACTCTAACAGAATCTTTATATTTAATACTTGATTTTAATGCTATAAAAAAATATTTATTATTTTTTCCTATTTTTTATTTTCACTAAATTTCCTCTAAATTATTATATTGTTTTCTTTCATTTAAAATCAAAATATTTTGAATGTATATAACTTTAGAGAGTAAATTTGGCTTTCCAAATTAAAATGTTAATATAAATAGTCTCTTTAAACATAATTTTAAGGGTTGACTCTTTAAAATATTGTTCTGAAAAACTCGTCTAGCAATGCCTATGCGGGCCTACGCTCGGAGCTTGGCAAAACGTCTCGCTTCGCGCATATGCATTTTTTTTAATTCCTAAATGGTCGGATTTTTTCTATCTCTTCATTAAAAATTTTTCTTCTTCTGAATGTTCTTTATTTAACTCTAGTTTATTAATTTTTTTATTTTTTAAAAAACTTTGTATTTGATTTTAATTTCAAATTTTAAAAGAGACTATATATGTACAAAAAATCAAAAATTTTATCCAATAACGAGTTAAGTACGATTTAAGTTACAGTATTATTTACGTTATATAATTATGATTTTAAGATTCATTATTTTGTTAAAAACTTCGCAAGCATGTATAAAGTTCCTATGAACCTATTAAGCAGAACTTGTCTAATTGAAAATTGAATGGGTAATTAACACATAACGTTCACACAGTTCATTGTTATCGTGAAAAACGTTATCGTCTCTCATTTTTTGGCATTTTCATCATTATTTACGCATTTCATTTCGCAAAAGGTCATTTTCACCTATTTTTCTCAATTGAAAATTATGAAATGACGAATATACCTCCTTTTAAATAAAACAAAAAGAAAAAAAACTAATTGCAATTATAGTCCCAAAATTTTTAAACTGCGCAAATGAGTCACACATAAATTATTAAAAGTGTAATTAATACATATTGTCCCTATCTTTCACCGTTATTGCGAAAAACGTCCACACCTTTCATTTTTTGACATTTTAACCCTTAATTACACATTTGAATGAGGAAACCATCACTTCTATCAATTTTCATTCAATTTCCCAATAAAAATTTGTGAAATGACGAATATCCCCTACTATTTAAATAAAAAGCTAATGAATTAATAGCAATCATAGTCTCAAATTTTTTTAAAAAGTGAAAAAGTCACCAATAAATTTTTTTTTTTTTTTAAATGCAAACAAGTCCTAATTAAATTTATTTCAAAATTAAAAAATAAAAACGAGTCCCACATAAATTATTAAAGAATTAAAAATTAAAAAATATTTTTTTTTAAACGATGGTATATTCGTCATTTCAAAACTTTTTATTGAGAAATTGAATGAAATTGGATAGAAATGATGGTTTGCGCAATCAAATGTGTAATTAATGTTGAAAATGCCAAAAAAAGAAAAATGTTGACGATTTTCGCAATAACGGTAAAAGATATGGACATTATGTACTAATTACCCTTTTAATAATTTATTTGTGAGTTATTTGCGCTTTTTAAAAAAATATGAGAATGTGGTTGCAATTAATTTTTTTCCTTTTTATTTTATTTAAAGAGAGTGGTATATTCGTCATTTCATAATTTTTAATTGAGAAAATTGGTGAAAATGATATTTTGCGCAATAAAATGTGAAAATGCCAAAAAAATGAAAGGTATTGATGTTTTTCACAATAACAATGAAAGATGAGAAGTTATGTGTTAATTACACAAAATTGAAATTATGAAAAATAGTCTAACTTTTGCATTTCAAAAATTTAAAAATTATATAATTAGTTATAGGAATATTAAATAAATATAGTATCTTACAATTTTAGATATTTGATATGTATTATTTTAATTATTAAATAATTTTTTAGAAAGATTAAAAATTTAAAATAATAAAAACTTTTTTTGCTTAGGCTGCACTTAGACTCGCTTAAGCTCCTAAAACTTGAAACTTTGACTACATACTTTATACTTTTTAGAACACTACTTAGAGTATCTTATATTTAAAGAACATTTTGGCGATATTCTCACTAGGATCTCATTATAGACATATATCTCGTGTCAATTTTTTTAACAGAATTGCTCGATTAATCTTCAACATATACAAAAAATGTCCAAATCTTTATTAAATTTTCTCTTATGTCGAATATTTGGACACCAATTTACATTGGCAAATAAATCTATATTAGTTTCATATGCATGAGGGGTCATGTAGCTATTTAACGAAATTTTGGTGGATTCAGTTATATTGATATTGGGCCCTTATTTGATTTCCATTATTTTTAAAATACATTTTCTCTTTCTTATTTTCGACCACATATTTTTTAATAAAATAATAATTTCAGGTAAGCTCCAAATTTTTCTTATTTTTTAATCACTCAATATCCATCAAATTATTATTTCAAAAAATATTTTTTTACAAAAATAAATAAATAAATAAAATGAGGCTCAAACATGCTCCAATTGTGCAATTATAATTTCGTCCGTTTTTAAAGTTCAGTATTTACTTGCTAGTGACAAGGTAGACTGGGGACCAATGGGGTACTCTCTCTCTCTCTCTCTAGATGGGAGTGGTGGGTTTATTCTTTAAGAGTGGGGTACCTTTCTTGGGCTTTCCTCTACAATTGTGTTGATTCAACTAATGAACTAATCAAAAGTGTGTACCCTTTTTCCAGGGAATTTCTTCTTTAGACCTTGTTTGACTCCAATTTTTTTCGAAGTACCTTTTTCTATCTCTTCTTTTCAAATACATATTTTTTAGTAAAATAATATTACACGCAAATTCAAAAAAAAAATCTTATTTTTTACCACACATTTTCCATCAATTTTACTATTTCAAAATGCATTTTTAACCTTTAATGGGGTTCAAACAGACTCTAGGAAGAAAGTGAGAAAAACAATTATTGATATTCTTCATCTTTTTTACCGATAAATTTCTTTCTTGTCAATTTTTGGTAGTTCAAAATTATTTAACATTCTATAGATTAAGAATTTATGGATTGGATTGCATCTACAAGAGAGTTGGTCCATGTTTGGTATGGATTAAAATTCAATTAAAATTATAAATTAAAGTCAATAATTAATTTTAGCCACATATTTCACGTGATACACAATTTTTCAACCACATGTATTTATCAATTTATCAAAAAAATTTAAAAATTTGATTTTAGTGTCTATCAAACAAGGACTTTTATTGTCCTCTGTTTCTGGTTGTACCCTTGAATTTAATGTGACCTTTGGAGTCTTGCTTTTGGAAGTTTGTCTTCAAGAAGGACAAGAAAGTCAAAAAGGTCTTTGGGAAGAACGAACACATTCGAATGTAGGGGGTGTTTATTTTCATTTTTTTCAAAATATTTTTTTTTTTCTCTCCTTTTTAACTATACTTTTTCATTAAAATAATATTAAGGCAAATTTTTTAAAAAATCATTCTTTTTGAACCATATATTCTCCATCACAGTTTTGGTCTCCTGCGCGCCTCGCGCAGGGCTATCCTATGCGCAGGAGACCAAAACGTTGGTTTTGGCTGACACACAAAGCCAACTTTTAATTAAAATTTTTTTTATTTTTTTGAAGGGCGTTCAACGCA